TCACAGTTTGGTGATTATTATCCACAGAAATATGTAAAAAAAAAACAGAACATTGAAATACTAAAAAAAATTCAAATATTATTTACGAAAAGTGGGTGCCCCATGGGATCCCTCCATCGGTGTTGATTACGCATAGCTTCGGCCCTGCCGGACAGAGAGAAGCGAGCAGCGAAGGACATGGCGGCAAAACGTCGTGCACATGTTGCCGACGAACATTTTCTCGAGCCACTCGAAATGTACATCGTTCCGACACTTTTACCGGGCCGTTCCTTCTTCAGAAATGTCTACAGAATCCGATCCTGGGTAGAGTTTTTGTGCTGAACAAAAAACTTTTCGTAAAAATACAAAAATATTGCGCAGAAACTGCTCACGTCGACACCTTTTTAAACTTTGACATTAATTTATTGCTATTTAGGGTCAAAAACAATTAATAAATTGCATGCCACTACATTCGGGAAACTCTCCTCTATCTTTTAACACCAATTAGAACCTTCTAACGTTTATACTTTTCATGCAATACCTCATTTTTGTCGAAAATTTTGGGTTTTTACAAAAGTTCGTTTATTTAAAAAACTGAGGGTGATGGAGCAATTCGGTTTTCGGATTCTTGTTCAGGAAGTGAAGCTCTACAAGAATTTCATAGTGGCTATAGAAACCCAGAAAAAAAGTTTGATTTTGTCGGACAGTGTAATTAATAAAAGAAAGTTTATCCATTACTGGTGCTTAACATTTTTGACCTAACACGTAATTAACATTTTTAACGTAATTTCTCTTTAATGGTATAGTCTGTGACAACGTTTTCACCAATAACGTTTCTTAATTTAAGACCGAGTGGAATTTTAATATTCTTGTTTCGATTGCAAATCTGTTCCACCATTCATTTCATTTATGTAAATGTCGGCTGAAAATAAATATTTCTGCTCCATATATGACGCTGTCCAAGCCGATAACCTGATCATTTTCGGAATATGTAGATAGTATAATAGTATTTCACGATGACAACAAAATTATGGAGAAAATTTATTTGACATCGTTAAATAATGTGTAAGTTAAACATACACTTTCGCGCTGAAACATGCACCTATAGAACAGTTTCAAAATAAGACCAATTGTTTAAACAGTAACTTATACATATATCTACACTATTATTTGTTTTTCGAATATAAATTAGTATAATATACATTATTATCCATTTCTCAAAAGAATTAATAATTTAGTAAATTCAAATGAATTAGAAATATACACATCTACACTGTTACCTATTTTTCTAAAGATGAAAAAGTAGGGTAGATAGTTATCATGACTGCAAATATCTTCTTTCGAAAATCAGATAGCAGTACAGATAAACATATTGCACTGTTCTTCGAAAGAAGACACCTGGAGTCATAATAGCTGTATCTACCTTAATTCTAGTGTTCCAGATTTGCAAGATAAGTGTAAATTGAACAGTTGTTACGACTTCCAGCTATCTTATTTCGACATGTAGACCGTGGTATGAAATAGTCTTATGAAATAATCTTTTTGATCGTAGCTTTTTCAAACCGATTTATTAACTGTAGCTGATTCACAGAGGTATTTCACAAGCAATTATTGAAGAATAATTATTTTGATGAAATATTTTGGATCTCGATATTTCTTCATGCTATGTAATATTTATTTAAAGAATAGTAATAGTTAGTAACAGATGTTTTGCAAATAAATGTTACCATCAGTAGACGAAGAATTAACCCTCCACAGCTCGGTGTAACTTTGATGTTCCATACTAATTCATTATGATTTTTAATCGAATTTTATTTTAAACATCAACTTTCACTTTACGCACCACAGTAAATTCAATCGTTTAAAGAATTGCGAATTCGTCGTTCATTTAAATCTAGGGATTGATAATTTATCGGTTTCGAAGCATAAAAATGTTTCTATGACGATATATAAAAAATTCGAAGCATAGAGGATTAATTAATTTGAAAGAGGAACAGGTACGAACAACCAGTTGATACCAATACGTATTGGGCACTTGTTGCCCGCAGCCACCCGAAAGTAATTCGTGCAGTAAAAAATTGAGAAAGCGGATTCTTTGTGGTGTAACGTGTCCTTCGACACGAGAAATTGGTGGCATGCGATCATCGGCTCAGATTTACTCGGTGACTTTGCGAGCGGTACTTTCATATGCCAAAAAAGTGATAAATGCGAGCAGCAATTTGACACGGAAGACTGTCCTTTCGAAGCATGCAGATCCTGTCAATCGTCGTATTGACGAATAACAAATTGTTAAAAGCTGAGTAATCTCCATTTTTAATATTGTTGAGCATTAATATTCAAGTTAGCAAAACATTATTAGTAAGTTAATTTT